AGCTGTGATGCCACAGTACTCTACCCAGGGTGACAGCTTGAGGCTCTGTCTCAAAAAAAAAAAAAAAAAGATTTACTTATATATTTATTTTTACAGACAGAATCTTTCTCTGTTGCCCACATTGGAGTGCAGTGGCATGACTGAATTGAACCTTGAACTCCTGGGGTTAAGTGATCCTTCTACCTGAGCCTCCTGAGTAGCTAGGACTACAAGTATATGCCACCATGCATGGCTAATTTTTACTTTTTAAAGTGCAGGGTCTTGCTATGTTGCCAAGGTATGTCTCAAACTCCTGGCTTTAAGAAATCCTCCTGCCTTGGCCTCTCAAAGATCTAGTATTATAAACATGAACCACATGCCCAGCCCTAAAAGAAAAGACATTAAGACAGAAGTTGAAGAGACATTCCTCTGAGTACCTAAAGTTTTGCTAGTCTAAAATTGAGTTTCACACTACAGGTTTAGGGCTTTCTAAAGTATGACTGATTTGTATTATCAACCTATATCTTTTAAACTCCCAACAACTATTTTCTTAGTAAGTTCTTGTTGAACTGAACTGTACTGGAGTAGAGGAAAAGATTTCCTTGATTTCTGCATGGTTTTTCCAGCCAGTTGATCAATCAATAATTTTTTTTTTTTTAGAGATAAAGTCTCACTTTATTGCCCTTGGTAGAGTGCCCTGGCATCACAGCTCACAGCAACCTCCAACTCCTGGGCTCAGGTAATTCTTCTGCCTGAGCCTCCCAAGTAGCTGGGACTACAGGTGCCTGCCACAATGCCTGGCTATTTAATTGTTGTAGTTTGGCTGGGGCCAGGTCTGAACCTGCCACCCTCAGTATATGGGGCCAGTGCCCTACTCACCGAGCCACAGGCACTGCCCAACCAATCATTATTTGCTGTATACCTGCCAGAAGCCAGACCCCCTATGCAGGTTACCAGGGAGATAGGATAAGGTTCCTATCTTTGAGTAGCTGGCTCTCTTCTGTCAGGCAAGACAGAAAAGTGATAAATAATCATTATACATGGTGTGCACAGAAAGGCAGGCAACCTCCTGGCTTGGGAAAACCCCCTTAATGGGGGTGGGTTGGAAGGCCTCTCTTGGGAGAGCACACAGCATACAGAGAAGCCTTAGGGAAAGACATGAGTGGCTGAGTAGTGATAACATGGACAAGGAGATAGAGCATACCTTTTGATTTTTTGATTTTTTGATACCTTTTGATTGTTTTTATTGCTTCTAAACTGTTTATCATGCTCAATCTACAATCGCCAAAATGTGGAAACAACCTAAAAGCTCTTTTTTTGAGATATGGTCTCACTCTGAAATTGACCTGGGGCATGAGTTTGAGTTGCTTGGAGAAGATAGCTAAAGAAATCAAACAAGCAGCTAAAACTAGACCTTGGATCTTAAGAAATTAATTTCTTCTGGCAGGCCACAGTGAGGAAGACCAACATAAAAGTAAATGTTGTAGTGAGGAGGAAATACAGAGCTTTGCTTATCTTTCTTCCCTGTCTAATGACAGGTATAGGAGAGGCTGGGGACCTGGTGTGATTAAAGCAGTTTCCTATTAAAAAAAAATAAAAGGAGTCTCCTGCTCTAAAAAGAGCCATCAAAAGGCCATCTGTGACCTTGTAAGGCCTAGGAAAATGGGCCAAAGTTCACACAAGCACAGCTGTGCTGCAGAAATAAGGGATAATAAACATGTGAGAGGGCAGAGGCAAGATGGCTGACTGGAGCCAGCTTTCCACAGAGGCGCCCGTCCAGAAGGAGAGTTAAAGGACAGAAGTTTAGCAAGTAAGCTGATGGTCTGGAGCTGAGCCAAGAGAGAAGATTGAAGAATGCACATCAACCCTGCTGAGGCAAGCTTCAACCCCAAGGATATGAAAATAGGTACAAAATCCATCGCCAAGAGGACTGGAGTCCCCTACCCCATGAGAACGGCTTGCAGTATATTTTCTACAAACAAGTGAGCAGAGTTCAAAGTCCTCTCATTTTATCCCATGGGAGAGACCCTCTAAAAATTGGACCTCCTTCCCCTACTAGGGTGCCATGGCACTCTCCTGCCAGGCATAAAACTGTATAAAACCGTATATATTCTCTACCTGCAATTCTGAACTCC